GATACAATGCGGACGACTCGTGAAGGCAGCCTTCAAAGCACTCCCGCATTTGCAGTTGCCACTACAAGGAAGGTTCATGGTTTTGTCCTTCATTTTTTATTTGTGTATGAATTCAAGTCAGCAGATTGGTTAGGTGTGGTATCGTGTCGCTTATGTGTTTCGCAGTGGCACACTTTTTTGTTTACCAATGTGACGGTCTCGCGTTGCTACGCAAACTGCCTGTCTGCTTTTGGTTGTTGTAAACATTGGAATACCCCACAGTTTTCAAATATTTATAAAGCATTGAGGTAAAGTGGCTATGCTGCACAGTTTGTTGCTACTTGCACACACAGAAAGTGGAATGGGAACAGATTTATCGCTACCACTACCGCATCTGCTGGTCTTGTGGTTAAATAAGAATGCGGAAACAATCGCCTTGATGTGTTCTCCTCGTGTATCTATCGAGTAAACAAAAAATAACTTTGCAACATTGTCGACAGGGGCGGAACTAAAAATAACGAAAAAAAAAAGTGTGGCCGATTTTGTGCTTTTTCTTGAGGACCTACAGTCACACACACTGTAGCCTGAAGTGGGGTGACATCAATGACGAGGCTCGCTCAGAAATCGGTGGCTGCACGTATTAATCCTAGATGTTAATTAAACATGTATTTTAGTGGTGAATTTGACCTTGTGAAATTTCAAAGTGGCGCTCTTTTGCAGTAAAAAACGAAAACAACAAACTCGCCAGGGTCAGCGGCGCTCGTAAACGACATTTAGTATAGTCCCTGAACAAGTCCGCCGTTGTCGCGGCCAGGTTTGTTGGTCTCATTTTATAATGGAAATGGAGCTAAGCCTTGAAATTTCACAAGGTGAAATCCACCACTAAAATAAACCTTTGACGAGAATTACGTTGGTACGTTCAGGTGCCGGCGTTTTTCGGACGGTTTAGAGTAAGGTTTCACATTTATGAGAATACATCTTGCCAATTAGAAGTTTTGAGCAAATTAAACAAATAGCTTACAATTAAAACAAAGAGGCTTTCCTGTACTGTAACTTGGTCTCGAATATTTTCTGAATTTACTGCCGGTACTGGACATGACATGAATCCTAGTTTAATGTAACCGTTTGTACTTTCTCATGGGTCGAAGAGAGCTTCAACGGTGTCGTCAGTCACAACGGACGCCACGGCGAAGTCAGTCGTCCATCCTCTCGGGGGAAAAAATGTACAAACGGACGAATTCGTCCGTAGTTAACGCATTAATTGAAAACAAATCTGCTCGTCGATTTTATTGGATAGAGGAAAAAGAAACGCTGAGCAGTGAGCTCATTTCCCGACCGTGTTCAGACAGCCAACATAGCTTGGAGAGGGCAGAACCGGAAGCGAGGCAGGCTTCAAAAACGCCTCTCTTGCTTGCCGATAGATGGCGCCCAATATTTGCGGAGAAGGCCCATTCTTTATTGTCGAAACCGCGAGGCTGTTTCGACATCTATTCTAGCATCTAGCCAAAACTAATATAAGAATTATGTCCATCTTACTATACTGGCATATATTAGCACACAATAGCAAAACATTGTTGTAACAGTAAACTGATAATTCAATAATAAATAAGGTTGGCTCGATATTCTTCTTCCTTTGGTTCTGAACAGCTGGAGCCTCGGTTGAGACGTTGGTGAATAAAAAATGGTTTCCAGTAAATAAATATAGTAATAAAAAAGGACACTCATAAGAACAATTAATTAGGACGGTGGTTAACACAAGGAAATGTAAACGCACGTTTGCCTTGTGTACTTTTCTTGGTGCTGTTCAAGAACGCACGGAGCACGAACCGACTAAAGTTTACTCCGGTGTTCTCCAGATAGACGTCAGCTGATGCCGCGGGCAGCGAACGGCAGAGTACTAAGCCGCGCTATGGCCCCACTCATGAGTTTCACTCTCTCATCAAGCCAGAATATCAAGTCTACGTCAGCCACCATTATGTTTTATTTGTAAAATATCTGCTTGAGTTAAGATGCGTCCTGCTGGGGTCAGTAGAGGAAGAGGAAGAAAGGAAGACTATTACCATTTTCGAAGTGCTCGCAAAAAGCTGACTCACAAAAAGGGTGACTGAGATGCAGATAACCTGGCTGGAATTGACAAATAATGTGGGCCAACCCTAGAAGTTGGACTACAAAAAAGTAAGTAGTTTCTAAAACAGGGTCAAATAAGGTGAAAGAAACCGAAAACAATACAGCTTGTTTTCTAAGAGAAGATGATAAGTGTGCAGCAACAAACGAGCATGCATGCTTGTGGCAATAACACCTTCCCATATTATCACATCTCTTTTAGTGAATTTTAGGGTAGACAAAGCGTTGTCTCGTGTTGTGACGTTATGAAAATGGTCGTAGTCACTATAACCGAGAAGGACATTGTTGATTCTTGTCTGTGCACTTACCGCCTCAAGCTTCTCGAAGAGGCATACAATCACTTGGTGCCGTTCTCTCCCCGCCTTCGATCGCAAAGAAACGAAGAAAGGGACTAAAAAAGCTAATATAACTTGACCCTTCCTCCCCCCTTTTCTTTTCTTTTAGTAGAAATTTTCCTTTTGATTTTTCGACATTGTTGTTATGGTCTAGAAAAATAGAATCAAGGGCTTGGTGTTCAAAAAAAAAAAAAAAAGGCTTTGCCGAACTGAAAAGTACCAAGCCTCCCTCTGCGCTGGTCAATTCGCGTGACAGTGTCACTGCGCCCGACATTATCCCCCCCCCCCCCCGAAAAAAAGAAAAAACAACTTTCTTTAGAAAGGGAGGCGGAGGGGGGAGGGGGGGGGGGTTGGTCCTGAAAAAAAAATGCAACGAATTACAAGGAATCCGTTACGTAAAAAATTTAAGGGAATTACTTTAAAATTACTCTGAAAATATGTAATTAATCCGTTACTAAATTACTGGTAAATGTAAGAGATTACAAGTAATTTCGTTACTTGTAATGAATTACGTACAAGTCTGAATGCAACTGTCCACCTCTTCATGCCTTACGATTTTTCCTGTCCCCAAAATTTTGTTCTGGTCAAAACGTATTGTGGATTCGTTTATACCAGACACTAGACAATGGCATAAAAAAAACATCAATTGGCTTAGAAATGTCGACCGGCCACCATTTGGTCGATTTTATCTGAAATCGACCAAATGTAAAGTGAATATAAAGTGAAATTTATTGAACTGTTTATTACCGTAATCCACGCCAGACTAGCAAAAAAAAAAAAACAAAAAAAAAACAACTTGATTGTTTTAATTAGTTATAAAGCTTTATTTTCTTTTTTTTTTTTTTTTTTCGCTCTTTGACTTGATTTGTAACAGGACATCACTTCTTGTTTTTGATCCTTTTTGATTTTGATTTTGTTGCAATGGGACATTACGTAGCCGACGAACAAAATGTAAGGTAGGAAACAAGCTCAGCGCTCTGATTTCCTCGGGAGAGCACTTTTTATCCGAAAGCATTAACTGCCTCATGGAACGAGCTGACGTCATCAGTCTGAAGCGAGAATACGGCAGATAGTTTCCTTCGGTTCCATTGGCTGGCGCGCGTCGACGGGGCTCCCATTGGCCGCTGCGGTCATCAGTTTCCACGACCGCTCACCTCATGGCGCTGCGTGTCCATCAGCGCGGAACGTCCAAAGTCACCAGGGGAGCCCACGAGCCGACCGGCGACGAAAAGTACGCAGCAGACGAAAGAGGGAGCGGACAAGCGGCTTACATGCTTTCGCATTCACGACTCATAAGGAATTCTTAGGTGAACCTCGATGTTTGTTTTTGCTCGTGCTCAGCATTATATAAATCTTGTTTGCTAGGTGATTCTATGATTTAAATGCAAAACAAATATACATAGAAAGTATTCTACGATAGACAAACCGTAATTAAATATATTTCCGCATTTCCACAATCTTTGTTTTGCGGAAAAGGTGTCATTTAGATAATTATAGTAAAATTGGGGATTTAAATCACGATTTAAATACATTCCTATGTGTTCTTCACCCTGATATTGTGTGAACGAGCGGTATTTCAGCGGCTGTTTGAGTTCTGTCTTCAATCCCCACCTGGTCGGCAAACGATTACCGAGTCGACAACAAAACAATTAGTGTCCGGTAAAGAAGAAAAAAAAATGGTTGTTGTTATAGCGTTTGTCCATGTCGCACGCGTTTCTTATTTCGTCCGTGTTTCCGTTCGCGCTTTTTAACCTTTTTTTTAAGTGATATAAACCAACTAGACCCAAGGAAACTTTTATTGTGCCTATACCCCGCGAACATATCAGACGCCTAAAAGCTAATCGCTCAATCAACCGGATGAAGCAGTAACATTCATAATGGTATACGGAACTAGCGAAAAAAAGCATTGACAAAACGGCGTGCTAGGTCCGAGGTTAAAGCGCAATGCCATCGACTAATGGCTCCGTCAAACAAACAAACAAACTAGAAACGATTTGTATTTTTTTTTTTGCCCTCTTTCATTTCTAATTTTCGTTTTTTTTCGCATGCGTGATGTCTTGGTACGCATATATTGGCATGAGGCGCCTGCTTGTGACCCCGCGTCAAGTATCGCTTTTACACGTTGCAAATGACGATACTGTTACAAATCAATAGACGAGTAAATATATCAGCTTGAACTTTACAATTAAACTCGAACACGTTTAATTCTAAAGTTCAAGTTGATATATTTACAAGTATGTACCAACATGCTCAATTCCTAACCGTTATTCAGTATACGAGTTTGCTGCGCTTTTTGCGATGCTGAAACAGAAGCGCACTGCGCACAGCCCCACCGAAGCAACGAGATGAAACCGGAGGAGTAATTGAGTTGACCCTGCTTATTCAGACCCTATTCTGTCGATTACCTGGTGACAGAATTAAGTAAAAACGGTATTACAGCATGTGAGATCATGAAAGGATATTCAAATATAACACTTGCCCTCAAATTAATGTCCTTACATGATTTTTAGCATGCATATACACATCACACGATACTTCTCTTTTTAAAACAGAAACAGCGCATTTATATTATATTCCACTTTATTTGTCATTATGTTACAGGAGCCGACGCAACTCTATCAGGGCTTCGTAATTCTTCTTCGGGAAGTGTGCTTGGCATTGCATGGTAGAAGTGGGAAAAGTTCTTCAGGACGGTGGCCCTAAACAAAGGAACAAAATAAATGAAAAGGGAAATTAACAGAAAGAAGCAAGCGACGAAAAAGTAAAACGGCAGAAAGAAATATCCACAATCACGCATGATGGTACAAGACCAACCCCAGATTGTACGATGTGAGCTTCCTGAAACATCGACGTGGAAACGAAACCCTAGCGCATTTCTTCCGCGCTATGGACGCTTTCAGGCAGCTGTGCATGGGCGCCGCCATAACCGGCCTTCAGTTTTTGTTTCCTCTTATTCCGTTCGCTTCACTTCATCATTGCCACTGCAAAACAGGCTATTGCCACTTTAGGTGCTACTGCGTCCTTCTCCCCAGCATATTGGAGGGTCGTCAACGTCCTCTCGGTAAGACAAGAGAAGGTCGGCTATGGCTCAATCTTCCGCGTGTTTAAAGCATCTATACATGCGAAAGAACGTACTGCACGATGCCTTAAACAATTTTTTCGCCACATACTATATGTGTTTTTTTTTTCAGTAGGTATACATGCCGGGAACGCGACAGAACAGCACACAACAAAACAGCACGCGACAAAACAGCACGGTCAAAACAGCAGGCGTCACAACAGCACAGCGTCAAAACAGCACGCGACAAAACAGCAGGCGTCAAAATAGCACGCGACAAAACAGCACAGCGTCAAAACGGCGCAGCGACAGAACAGCACGCCTCAATGTTGTTGCCCTACAGCATGGGCTGAGCACGCCGTTGCCAAACACGCTTTCTATTTTTTCTTTTAACAACTAACGACAGCACATCGCGGTGTGGTTGGTTCATTCATTGTAGGCAACATCACCACCAAACTTGCGCGTCAAAATTAGGAGAACTGCTCGAGAATACAAACCAGTGGGGGCTTCGGTACTACCCTGGGAGCCTACGTGAAAGCATCGAGTGTACTCCCCACTCCAAACTTGCTCCCAAGAGAACAAATTGGACAGATTGGCCGTCGACAAGTTGGCTTTCGACGAATTGAACTAGACCCTCCATTCCTTTACAATGCCTACTTTGAGACATGCATTGTTTAACTCCATACGCTCTCTCTAGGGTTCAGCGTTTTCGGCTTAAACCGAATAAAATTGGTAGAATGACACCGAATTCATGTTCCCAAATTCGGACTGTGCACATGACTCATTACTGACCGTATGACCACTGCCTTTCGCAGTTTAAAGCTTGTCTTTGAGATTGGTTCAACTTTCAACAAAAGCTCCGGGAGCGCGGGGGTCTTCAGGACGAAATCTTGGTTTTTCACCTGATAGGAATATGTGTGCCGAATTCTTTGTTCAAAGAAGAGAGTTTAGTCGTGAACTGAACAACGAAAATCAAGGACGTCCGCAAATGCCGCACATTTTTAAACACCTCTAGTTTCCATCTATTAGAGGAGAATATAAATACGATTGTTTTATTATCGTTTCTGTGGTTGGGGTGAATTTACCTTCTCTCGCAGTCATGAAAATGGGGAAAAACGCACTGAGCGCAATGATTGCAAATATCTGGATTTCAATATTTGCCTGTCCAACCGAAGCGGTAGTAAAGCTCATGTTCGTCCTGTGTATAAATACAAGCACACGACGATGGTGTCAAATCATGATAGGGCCCCTGTGCGTCTCGCAGAACAGGTCGCTTTGGCTTTCACAGACAACAGCAAATAAAAAATAAAATAAAAAACAGTACCTGGTGTACTTACTCTACGTTTTAAACAAAACCTTTTCAATATTGCCCTTTCGTAAGTATACTGGTTTTCGTCAATAAACCGAAAAGAACCGAGAAGTTTGTGAGTTTACAAATATTCCCCGTAATAAACCGAAAACTTATGTTTGGGATAAAAATCGAAAAAAGTACGGCGAATTTCAAAATAATAAAAACCGGAAATGCCAGTGTCCTCTTTGGACGCTGCGCTGTCTTGTCGTAGTGCTGTTTTGACGTTCTTTTCTGCCGCTGTGCCCCTTCGACTCTGCCATTTCGTCGCTGTGCTGTTTTGACGCCATGCTGTTTTGTCACGTGTTCTTTTCTCGCTGCGCCGTTTTGACGCTGTGCTGTTTTGTCGCGTGCTATTTTGACCCTTGCTGTTTTGTCGCCGTCCTGTTTTCCGTCCTGTTTTGACGCTGTGGTGTTTTGACGCGTGCTGTTTTGACCGTGCTGTTTTGTCGCGTGCTGTTTTGTCGTGTGCTGTTCTGTCATGGTGCCATACATGCCGCATTATTGAGAGGGTGTCATTGGACAACTTGTCACCAGATAACATTACGTACAACAAAGCAACGTCGAAGGTTGCCCGTAACGCTCATAATTACCTCTTTCGACATTTTAAAGATACTCCGACCAGTTCGAGCAAACGACCTATTTTATTCCCTTCGGTGCGAAGGGCATTAAGGAAGCCGTGCAACAATTTTTTTGCTATATTTTTAATTTGCACCGAACCTGAGCGCGTGAACTCCATCATGACGTCCTTGGTCCTCTGTCTCCCCCCCTTTCCCGCGCCCGCGGACCGCGGTGTCTGAGGAATGTGGGGAGGGAGGGGAAGACGGGGAAAAGAGGTGAGGCCGAGGAGAGACAGCTGCCCATTTCCCGGGCACCTCTCTGTCCTCGGCTGACCAGGACCAAAAACGTCACGATTTCGTCACATGCCGCGTGCGTTCGACACACGGGGCGCCCCCGTAGGAGGAGGGGGTTGCCGCGTCGTCCAGTTGAACTATGACGCACTGATATTTAGTTGGCTCCTTTAAAGGACCCAGAGGGACCAACATTTTCGTATTCACTCCAAGATTTGAACATTTTGCTTTACAGCCTTTAGTGCGCTGTTGCTTGTCGACAACATGAAAAAAAGGTCTTCTCAATCATGTAACACAATGGTTTTCTATTTATTTGCAAACTGAAAATTTGTTTAAGGCCCGATATTTGTTTCTGGAAAATAATTGGCATTTTCAAAAACAACTACACGCACTCCTAGCCAGTCTCCTCCAAAGGACGTGCCATCGGAGACATGGCTGTATGAGGCATATGACCAAATAGAAATCTGTGGCGACCTCAGGGTCTATTCAGTGCATTATGACGATTCGGAGTACAACACGCGCAAGATTTTTCAGGCATATAAGACGATGGTGGTTTTATATTTTATGCTTCCAGAACACAAAGAAGCCGTGATGATAAGAAGACCGAGTGGGCATTGAACTTGTTTCGCGTCCGTTTTATTTTCTTTGCGTTCTGAGCTCTCAACGATTAGAGGGAATGGAGCGTGCCACTTTCAGGACATACGACGCACCCGAGTGAGCCAACGCGTACATCGGAACAGCCACACGATTCTTTGCATTCCGCGAGTCGCGTTGCAATTTGAGATTTCCGCGAGGCCTCCTTGGATTTTTTCGGTAAGGTATATCGCCTAGCTGATGAACACCGATCTGCAAAAGCAGCCAGTAAAACTCTCGAGCGCCCTCGAAACGAGCGTCCGGAAGGTAGAGGCTGCGAGCCCTTCCAGGCAAACATTTCGAACGAGTGAGCCTTACTTGAAGTGGACCTTTCCTCGGCGGTCCTTGGGCGCTCGCCAGTGAGCCAGGATGTTCGTCTTCTCTTCGGGGTGCGTGTGCGTGACTGCGGAGCAGTTGGGCATCAACCTGGAGTGGGCTCCGAGCTGCACGAACTGACCCACGTCTTTGTCGTCCTCGTCGAAGGCCTTGATCAGGAAGGCCTTGAAGGGCACCCCCACCGTGTACAAGGTGACTGCGCGTATAGGACGAAACAGGGCGTAAACAAGGTCTCAATAGACCCCTTTCAAAAGTGCGCCCCCTCTTGGGGTTGCAACGCCAACTGTAACATCCGCAATTTTTTGGGGCGAGTACTGTCACTGGCAATGTTAACTGAAAGATTAAAAGTGTCCTCCATGTTTCTTTGGCGTATCTGCTAGTTTTTGAGAAAGCTCAAACCAGGAATGGAATGCGACGTTCAGGTCCCACACTTCGTACTACTTGACAAACTGACGGCGAATTCCATTGGGCGTTTTGGAGCACACCGGGATCAGGAGACTACATCCCAGATAGAGCACGTGATCCAAACGAAGTCGCTCCGCCTCCGGATCTCCAGTGGAACATGACCACTCCTCCGGGATCGGCGGATGATTTCAGGCCATTCACCTTGCCGGGAGTCTCCTCCCCGCGGTTCCGGATGTCTAAGCGCATGTTTTCGGAATCGCGGCGCTAACAACATGTGTTCAACGCACGAGCAAGGTTAATCATGATGTGAAAAATGCGTGTCAATAAGCGATGTGCATCTCTGTAGCTCACCTGCCTCTACATCGGAATACTCGTAAACGGTGTCCAAGTACGTTTCGAATTTTCGGCCTTTTCTGCGCAGGTCCGAAAAGGCAGTCGAATTAATGCGGGAAATACAAGCAACCCTCGTCGTCGCTGGCACTCGAGCCGCTGCTGCTGGAAGAGCTGCCCGAGCAACTTGACGGCAAACTGGCATCAAGGAGCAGCAGCAGTAAAGCCGTCGGCACTTCGCGAGTGGCCGGTAGGAATTTCTCGGAGGAGAGATGCCCGTCGAGAAAGAAAGTCACGTGTGTGCGCCGAGGGCTGGTTAGGTTGGCTTCCGGTCGAATCCGCCTAAATCGGAGGAGTGACTTTTCTCGGATCCGGATTGAGATTTGGAGTGGGACCTGATTCAAAACGACAAGTGGAACACGTCCGTCTCGGCCCTCCATGATCAAAACACAGTCGCGGTGTTAATGTGCCCACATCGTTGAATGCGCAGGTTCCTTGGGCATATGTCTTTTAGCCCGACCAGTTCATGTCTTATGAAGTTTGCGATTATCGAATTGTCTATCGACAGCTCTTTCCCGTCTTGCGGCCTCACACTCGTTAGGTTAAAGCAATCGTACTTTTGTCTAGCCCGTGCCAGCGAAATCGTAATTGTTTTGTTATTCGCCGAGTCTTCTACGTAGCGACGAGGATAAAAGGGTACTGCATCGCGCGAAGTGTGGAGCAACCTACGACGACGTGAGCAGTGGCGGCGCAGAGACGATAGCAGACAAAAGATGCATAGCTCGTCGAAACCGAAACTACCCGTGGACAGTCTCCTGCTTCCAGAGTGCATCTGAACCGCTAGGGGCGGCGCTATATTGAATATTGTTCATTATAAGACATTTCGTTAATAGATCTAAAAACAAAACTAAGTTATTTTGCTCAAGAGCTCTGTTGATCAATAAAAAGTAATGTGCAAGTAATGTTTTTGTACTCTTTCCCTTTCTGAACCCGTACTCACAGTTGCTAATAAACTTTATTACAAAATGAGTTGATAACTTTGGCGACATACTTTTCTATAATGTGAGAAACCACTGGCATATTCCATAACAGTATCTATAGTTCCCCATGTCGTTACCTCCTTTGAATAACGGACTTCCTACAATTGCGCTTTTGAGACCTAATTTATTACAAAATGAGTTAATAACTTTGGCGACGTACTTTTCTATAATGTGAGAAACCACTGGCATATTACATAACGGTATCTAGTTCCCCATGTCGTTACCTCCTTTGAATAACGGACTTCCTACAGTCGCGCTTTTGAGGCCTAATGGTATGACACCTGTAGAAAATATACAGTTTAGAAGAGTTGATGGCACATGCTTCTGTTAGTTGATCGAGCGAACATGCATTATCTCAGACGGATTTAGACAATACCCGTTGGCTTTTCGATCAACAGAGCACTTATTATACCGCTCAAATCTGCTTCAGTCATCGAGGATAGATATGCAGATTTCGAATTTACTTATAGATTGGGTCCTGCCGTTTGCTTCTGAAAGTAAATCTTAGCTCTAAAATCCAGAGCCGTAAATGTAGAGTTTGGCCATTCACTCGGAAGTGTAGGAGATAAATGAGGAGGCGCCATTGGCCGAAAGCATGCTGGGTGTGTTCCAGGGCGTCTTTACAAATTCGAATGTGATTAACCTGCAGAAGCCTGAAATCATACCCTGGCTGTGGTCGCGACAAACGTATTTAATAGGTGCGTCGGAATAACTTTCGGTGACTGAAAATATGGTGCACGTGATGCTTCAATCACCGTTATCCAAGATCATGGTGAAAGAACGCAACTAGCGGAACGATCGATATAATCCGTACGCCAGGCTCTGAGGGCCGGGAAGCTGCCGTCCGAGCGGTCACATTTTGTCCGAGCAAAACAGAGTTCGAGGGACACATTCAATTCTTACATCTTTTTGCATGATCATTATTGAAACATCACGTGCACCATATTTTCAGCAATGAAGAGTTACTACATTTAACCCTTACGCTCTTACAAAACTGCTTCTCGTTACCACCCCTAGGGAATTCTTTTCGGCTTCTAGTTGGCCAATAGAGCACGCCAAGCCCTCTTTCTGTGTCTGGTGCACGCCCTGGCTCTGCCCGCTCATCCTATTGACCATACTCTCTCTATACAAGGATCTGCTTAGATTGTCTACATGTATTCAAGCATACAAAGCGCACCATATTCTGTTTACGGGAAGCAGCGTTACCTTGCACTCCAGGTATAGAAGAAAATACGCTAACGAAAATGAGCGTATTGAGCATTTCATTTCAATCTTGTAGGGGCTGTATTTGTTTCCCGCGCTCGTGTCGCGGCATTTCTATCGAGCACCTGGTAAAAATGCGCATCACGGGAGCTCCAGCGGTCAGCCACCGCCGGAGCCGTGAGAGGTAAGAAACATTTTCGACTTGTCATCCTTGCTCGGTGTTCTTCTGTCACACTCTCCTACAGATAGCAGCAAGGCCAAGCCGCTACAAATGACGCCCAAGATGGTCTTCTTATCCGTGAGTTTGTGTGGCATTCAACCTCTGGTATCACCCCTTATACGTATTGTTCAGTCGAATGTGGGAACACGACTTTGCTATTTTTTTTTCCTGTTTCTTGCCGGCTTCTTTTAAAATTTAGAATCCCTTTCTTTTTCTTGTCTCTGTCGCTGTACCAGTTTACAACTGGTACCATGGTGATGATGATACCTGAGGCATGAAGCGAGAGATCGAACGTTCTCGGCCGCTGGAATAATCGAGCGATCACCACACGTCCCCCCCTAGTCCGGCCGATGTCCCTTCTAGGGTGATTCTTGAGAAGACCTTGACTTCTTTCCAGCGTTTTATCAGCACAAGCTGTAGTGGGTTCTTAATTTTTATAGAAAATATAAAATGAAGGTGCTCATATTACGCTTATTCAAGAATTAATAATTATTCATGATAATAATATTAGTAATAACAAGAATAATAATAATATTATTAATAACACTACTAATAATATTTATAAGAAAAATATTAATGATTTAATACCCAAAAAACGTAATAACCAATTATTCTGCGTTAGATAACCAATTCGACACGTCGCGAAAAAATAAAAAATAAAAACTTGACGTGTTAAATGAACGTCACGTGAACTTGACGCGAACAATACTTTGTCAGTTCAACACGTTTTGTGACCAACTTTAATGATCATATCAGATATCACTAATATAAATATACTAATAAGAGTAATACGAATTATACTTATAAGAACAATAATATATTGATGTGTGCAGATAGTTCTTCAAGTAGACACACTGGTCTGTCACAGTTTAAGGCTTGCGGGACAGTAGCCTACTCGTCATAATCACAATTGATGATCACATACTTATAATAATAACCAGTACGCCGAACGCTGACGTAGCAATCGTGTTCAACGCATGCTCAAAGAGCGTGCTGAAAACATGGCAGACTCGGAGCAGCTTCTAGTATATTTCGTTTCAGCTTACGTCCAGACGCCTCCGACGCTACGAGCTAATGGGAACAACCAAGCTGCGTCAAAAGCGCAAGTCACTAGGCATTTTCTGTTTATGATTGGTTTTGCGATGATAGGACACGTACAGAAACATTACAAAGACCATGAGGGTGCCGTTTTGAGATTGTTTGATTGGTCCCATCAGCTGCAAGCATCGGCTACGTCTGGACTTACGTTAAAACGAAGAATAGGGCGCATACGTTCGAGAAGTGTGTATTACTTGCTCCCCGTCCGGTGGTCCATGGCTAGCTAGTTTTACCCGTGATAATGTCATTCGGCTTGTAGTCCACTTTATCCTGGACGAGGCGGTAGCCCTCGGCGTAGCCCTCAACGGCGCTCTTGGCCTCGTATCCGTGGGACGGGTACAGGTCCTTGCAGGCCTCGTCGTCGGCGCCGCTGGCGTGGCCGTTGCACTGCCCGACCCAAAGGAGCAGCATGGCCGACAGAGTGGCGGCGCGGGGAACCATGGTCTATCTGGAAAACGATGCACGTTGAACGAGGGAAGGCATTCATAGGGCGATGCAAAATACACCCCTTCAGAAAGTCCACCCCGTTTTGGCAGCCGTGGAATCCCTGCACAATGGCGGACTAAAACAGTAGCGTCACGGCACATCATCTGCGTTTGGTTGGGTTAGAAGGCGAAAACACAACCCCAGAAAAGGGGATGAACGCAGCGACATTGCTCGGTCGACGATATTTGATTGACTCGTCGGCGCCTATACTTCGTCTCACCCTACGATGGACTAAAGGCAGAAGCTACGAACCGCCAGATCCAATCACGAGCCACTTAGACATTGCGTGGTATTTCGCTTCGATGCACGTATCGGTGCTCGCGTCTCGGATCACTGATGAGAACGGGCGGACACTGGTTCGGATCGAGCAATGAGTGACGCAACGATTTTACATTGCAAAGAAAGCCACGAAGTACTGGCTCTTTGCAGTGTCGAGGCTATAAAAATGACGCAGCCTTTTTGGATACGAAGCATTATTCTTCCAAAGCTAACCAATGCTACGCGTGTCATAGTTTAGCGTGGAACGTGATTGGACCTGGCGGCCCGTGGCTTTGGCCTTTAGTCAATCGCAGGATGAGATGAAGTATAGGAACCACTTTAATTGTTACCGAATCGTCCAGCATCTGGTAAACATAACCAACCACGCTTCACAGGCTTCTTCCTAAGTGCCTTTCGTTGACGCCCGAAAAAAGAAAAAAAACAAAAAAAACACGGTAAATTCCGGACAGTCTGGTGATCTTCTGGTAAATTCTGGCTTTACTGGAAGTGAAAAGAGTCTCATTATCCAGTAAAATCGACTTTTACTGGAAATGACCATTCCGGTAAAAACTATTTTTAATAGGGGATCTACAACATTACTTAAGGTTAAAATTGCATTACCATATATTGCATAAGAAGACGAATCTGAACTTCTGGTATGAAAAGCATAGCACGTGCCGTGAACAAACAACGAAGCTGCTCGTTAATGACCAGTTCTAAAAGTCTATTTGTGAACTGTTTTCATATCATTTTAGTTCATGCTTTTGTAGTGTCAACACCAGTTCGTCCGGAACATGGGGTCTGATAACGATTTGCCTCGTACGATAATTACGGTCGATGAGGTACCTGCGGCTGTTGGAAAACTATACTCTAAATTATAGGCCGGCTGCGATGGTTTTCCCAATTTTATTGTGAAGGGTTGCTGCGAAAATTTCGCTCCTATTCTTGAGACGTTGTTTAACTTGTCGCTGCAAACCGGTGTATTTCCAAAAAACTGGAAATATTAATTTTTTGTTCCAATTTTTAAATCTGGTAATTCTAGTGACGTTAGCATTTTCGTCCTAAATCTCTTTTAGATGCATTCTCAAAAGTATTCGAGAAGGTGATGTACAACCACCTATATAATTTTTAAACCAAAGTTAGTTTTTATACAGGATGTGTATCTAACAGGAAGATCCGTTGAAACAAATTTATGAGCATTTCTTAATTATGCTGATTGTTCAGAGGCGGGATTAGGTAGATGCAGTGTATATGGATATGTATATGGATGCATGATTGACCTTTGATAAGGCCAATCATGCATTGCTATTAATGAAACTTGGGAATTATGGGCTTGGCCCGGAATATATTACCTGGTTCAGGAGTTATCAACATGAAAGACAGAACTGTGTTAGGGTTTCTGGCTACTTGTCACAACCTTTCATGTATATTTCGGGTGTACCTCGGGGCTCGACTCTTGGTCCGCCGTTGTTTATTATTTTTATAAGTGATTTACTGTCTTCAGTGAAAAACCCGCAGGTTCTCATGTTTGCAGACGACGTTAAACCGTTTAAGCCGGTAAACATCACTGACTCTGCTTTCCTGCAAGGATATGTCTATTCAGTACAAAGATGGTGTATTTTAAACAATTTAGTTTTGAACCCCTGGAAAACCCAAGTGATATCTTTGTCCAGAAACCGTAGCACATTTTCTTATATGTACTGTCTGGGAAATTAAACTACAAGTCGGACAACGATATTTGAATATCTAAAGGGTTTTGTGGATGATCTGTTTTTTTTTAATTCTCACGTGAACCCCATTGTTAGCCAGAGTCTGCGCATGTTGGGAGTAATGGCTCGCCCAACTAGACCATTTAGCACTCATCATTGTCTATTACGACTCTTCAGTAGTCATGTACGCTCTAAACTTTAATTTGCATCTGTCATTTGGAACTCTATCTCCAGTACAACAAATGAAAAAAATTGAACACATTCCAAAACGATTTGTGCGGATGGTATACGACAGATATTTTGGCCGTAAATGTTATTTTGAACATAATTTAATTTTATCCAAATAAAAACTGTACACTCTACATAACAGGAGATCTATCCGGGATGTTGAGTTTTTTGCACAGGTTGGTTCATGGGTCTAAAGAGAGTCCTGCACTTCTTGATTCTTTACACTTCCGCATTCCTGTTAGCGCAAACTCTAGAAATCTCAGTTTTTTACCCAGATATGTATAGCAACTTGTCACCGGTATCACGAATTCAACACGCTTTAAAAACGCAGTTTTGCAATGTTAATTTTTTTTTTGTACAAAAGTATTCCATGTTTGTGCAGGGTTGCTCCAAAATGAAAAAAAAAGCTGTGTGCATCTGTATTAATGTAAGCCATATATATAAGTTTTAAAACATGTGCATAATTTGAAGCGCATAAATTTGGGATGAATATGTATTTCATGCTTCGTTCTTCACCGTAAAGGCCTTTGAGCGGTTGGTTAACACGCGAAAATAAACACTGAATTGAATTGAATTCTACTTATTATTCTTATATCTCGCAATCTGATTTTCTACCGCGCGTAAAGAAGATGCTCAGGCCACGCCTTATGCCGAGACCACATCAGAAGCCTATGCATCTTGTCACAAATTTCGAGGAATCGTTGCACTTGAAACAAAAATAAGGCTAACCATATTTTGTCTTTCTTTTGTCATATATATATATATATATATATATATATATATATATTTTTTTTTTTAAGTTACTCGTTAAGTGGGCTCTAGAACGCGTTCCGAGCATCCGCAGAAACGCCCTCTTGCGGAATATGACGTGTATGCGTCCAGAATCCACAGCCCTAATGACTCAACATTTTTTTCCTGCATAATGAACCAGTAAAGCCTTGAACACAACCCCCCTACGCCCCCCTTCCCCCCTTAAACCGGATTCGCGCAGCACCGCCTAAATTACCTGTCACACGCCGACGTTGAGCCTTCACTCAAGAAAAAAAGAAGAATCCTGTGCGTCTGCTATTTTTGCACAACACTCGGAGAGCCAATCACCGCATCTTGCGGAGGGAGCTCAACGAATGACGATGCCGAAACATACGTTTAGGCCAAAAAACGAAGTCTGAGTTGTGACATTAAGCAATGCAAGCGTTTGAGGTTTCAGCAATGCAGGTTTCCATTGCTGACATTCAGCAATGGAGGTTTGCATTGCTGAATGTCACAACTCAGACTTCGTTTTTTTAATCTAAACATATGTTTCGGCATCGTCATTCGCTGAGCTGCCTCCGTAAGTTGCGGCGATTGGCTCTCCGAGCCTTGGTGCGGGAAAGTAGACGCACGGGCTCATTTTTAGAGTGTAGCAAACGCGGCATAGCGGAGCGCGTAGGCGGATTTTTTAATTTCTCGAGAATTAGGGGGAGGGGGGGGGGGAGCTCTTCCTTTCCCGCTCTCCTTCCCCGCCCACCCCACCACGAACTCTATGAAGCGATGGTACCTCCTTTTCCGAGGACCTCCTCTGTTCGGGCGAAAAAACAAAATTTCAATCTAAAAAAAAAAAAAGAAAAAAGAGTCGTTGTCGTGTTTGCGCAGTGCACTTTTATCAACGGAAAAAAATATCAAAAACATTAGATTCATGGCGCTTTAACGTAGTCTATACTTCGTTTCAGCTTCGGTCCGAGCGCGGCCCATGTTATGAGCCGAAGGGCCAATTAAACAGCGCAAAAAGCGGCGCGTCATGGCGTGCTCTCTGCGCTTGATAGGACAAGCCGGCGGAGGAGCACGCAGAGAGAGACAGCGAATACCGGCTGGTCCTATCAACTGCAAAGAGCACGCCATGAAGTTGTGCTTCTTTCGCTGTTCGATTGGCCCTTCGGCTCATAACATCGGCCGCGCTCGGACCGAAGCTGAAACGAAGTATAGTGTTTCCCTCTTTAGTTTTTGCCTACGCTGTTTCTACAGCGCAAAATCATCCCAAGAAGGATGCTTCGTTCATATACGCGCTACACAAGAACCAAAGAAAAACACAAAGGCTTATTTACACACGTCAGATGATACGAGAAAACAATATGTTCACCTTCTACAACGTCAGAAGATGCACATTTTAAGATCTGGAGTGTCCTGTCGTCACCTGTCATTGACATGGATGGGAAGGTGAAATATCGCAGCATTTGGCAATGTGCATACTTCAACTCCTCTTGTCTGACTACGCCATAGCTCCTGCCCTTTATGTGTGCTGCTAGCTCATGCTAACGTTACCTTGCATGTTAAAGAAGGAACATACTGTGTAAAGGGTGGCGTATATAACAAGTTTTTCTTTTTTTTTTTAATTATTGATAGCCTTGGTTTAGCCCTATCTAGTTGATATACACCAAACCCCAGAAAAGCATGTGCTCTCTTGGGGTTTGGTGGTTGACTTTGGATGTTTAGTCTTTCCGAAGCAGACTCATTTCTTTAGATGCAAAAATAAAAATAAATGTAGCGCACTATATTTCTTTCATAATTTCCTAGCCGTGGGAACCGAATTAAGAAGCAGTACGAGCCAATCACAACCCTCCGGAGTGTCACGTGATGGCTGAACGTTTGAGATCGAGCCTCGGCATAAGTTTCAAGTAAGGCATTTGAGGGACTGGATTGGTCAGATGTACTCCTAGCTTAGGACTCCAATCAGGTGAATGAAATATGTATAAAGTTGGCTGTAAAGGTGCGCTTACCTGTCTGCAAAGGAGGGTTACCACCAAGTAGATCGAATGCCGAGTTGCTGCGTGACCTAAAACTTCACAGGCTTCTAGCTCTTCTATACTCTGTGAACCCTTTTATCATTGACTGCGTGATAATCTATCGTAGATAATGTACAGTGCGCCGCAATATGAAAGACCCACTCGGAGCGCTTGGCCACGCTCCGAGTGGGTCTTTCATATTGTGGCGCAATGTACATATTATCTGCCAAGACCACTTAAGCATGAATTCAAGTAAGACAATCCATTGCTTTCATAATCAAGCACCCCTAATCTGAGATAATCCGAAGAGTTCAGTGGCTCATATGTCAGAAAAGGCGACGACCAGTCCGACATCAGGTCAAAGTGGACTCAAAATGTCTAGGACTCCTTATAATATAATGACTCCACATATCTTTTTTGCTTTAGCTGAATCGGCTACTTACGTTTGCCATTGTGAATAAAAGTTTTGGACTTTTTTGTTCGTCCTAATGACTGCGAACAACAAGAAAAACTTGTTTAAAATTCTTAGACACTGTAAAATTAGATGTTTTTTCTATAAATCCAATGACCATAGGGAGTACGATTCTTCCTTCTAAACTTATATTGTTTATTCTATAAATTTGTAACGTCAGTTAGGCCTAGAAAAAGTAATGACATGATGTGGCAAATGGGAAATGTTTCAAAATATTAATAAATGCAATTATCTTATATTCACGAAACAAAAGGCAACCATTCTTATCAAAATATAAAGTAGACGGTGTTGCTCTAAATGAGGTTACTGATCTCCAGATTTGTAAGGTACCCATTACTAGCAATCCAATTACTGTTATTCAATAATTGGCAAGAGTAATTTTCATATCATTTAATTACTTTTTAAGGAAGAAATCACAAGAGTAATTTGAATGCTTTTGGAAATACTAAAATTACTTGTGCCCGTTATTATTCTCTGCTCTTTTTTCTAATGACACCAGCTGTTTGTAGAAGTTTCATACCAAAAATATTCAAACAAAGCCTCCGAGAAAGAATGGTTTACCAAAATTGGTGAATTAATAATATAAGTAGCTTATAATTGGGTGATTTTAATGAAATAATAGAATGTGCGAAAAACTAGTTCTCAAACCGGCAGAACATTTTTTTTCTTTTTTGAAATTCAGAAGTAATCGGAAAATTGTTGGTTTCTTTTTCAAATAACGACCAATTACATTTCTTCTCCAATAATCGAGTAGTCAAATTTAATGTTTATTTTCAACCGAAAGAAACTGTAATTGTAGTCGACTACTGCTTTCGAGGAGCGTGTACAACATTGCTAATGTGAAATGTCTGGGTGTTTGTTTTAGCAACGATCTATTCTGGGCTAAACTAATAGACGCAATACCAATAGAACTTTCCAGAAGAGCTGCGGTACAACAATTTTTGCACTTTGCGTAGATACTATTTACAATGAATCTCTGACGTTTATAACCACTAGGCACGCGTTAGCTTTTCTCACTGTGTTAGCGTAGCTGCTAAAAAAATAAAATAAAAACGAGAATGGTTTCCCCCCTCCATTTGCAGGAAGGACAAGCGGCCGCGTAATCTTGAGCCGATTATATGCCGCCAATGAATATCATAGACACGTGCAGGGGTTGGCAAGGCATGGGACTCTCACTGAGTTGCTAAGTTGCCGACGATAGGATTCGGCTATTGTCGTCATTGAAGCGATAGGGCACGAGTCACTATTCAATTGTTGGTCATGCCATTGATTATCTTGAGCCCAACTCGAGTGATCACGCAATTCTCGGGTGTAATCTATGAACCGCATTCAAGCACTGCCACGGGGATACACTGCGACTTCAAAACTACGTTCTCGAGCTTTTGGGGTGTAGTGTTTCAAAGAAATCGCTAGCTTTTATTCGTGAGTTTACACCGCAACAAAGAGGATTCTTGGTTATTTGCTTTGTGCGTGAGTATAGTAGGGTTCTAGAAGTGCCAGTATGATCGTGTAAAGGAAAAAAAATCTAAATTAATATTCTTGCACCGCCCGTTGAAGATATCGCAATAACCGTTTTACCAAAACATGTATCTTCACTCAACGTTTGACAGAGGAAATATAAGAGATATGGTTATTTTTTTTCTTCTATTTAAGTTTCGACCCTGTGTTTGTCTCGTGTACCCAAAAGCTGACGTGCCGTTTCCGTCAATTATTCCAAGCAGCGAAACCGCTCTTGCTGCGTTTGCATCGATTCTGCCTAACAACCATTAGGCTGAGCAAGGCGTTCATATAACAGGACATATTGGGCACTAAATTCTTCTAGAGATAGCAATATTGTCGGTGGTTGTTTTCGTCAATACCACAGTACGTACATAAAACAAAACAAACACCCATGCCCCTCTGTCCTAGCTTTGAAGTAACCCTGCACGAATCAAAATCAAATTTAGGTTCAATTCCCTCAGTGACGTTCCCATAATGCACGTTACATGAAGTGTGAGCAAACGAAATAGCAAACCAACGCCGTTCTCAGTGCGGCAACCAATTCATAACAAAAATTGTTTACTGGAAAAGGTTAGTAATAAATTTTTATTGCGTTTTATCCCACTGTTAGCATCTAGTTAGTAATAAACCAAGAAAAAGAAACAGTGGTTTGTCAATCAGAAGTAACCATAAAAGTAATGGTTAATCTTTCAAATAATGGCAAACGACTTTTCTTCTAAGTAGTCAAGTAATCAAGTTTAATGCTTTTTAACCGAGAATAATTGTAATTGTAATCGAGTACTCCTTTCGAGGAACATGTACAACATTGCTAATGTGAAATATCTGGGTGTTTATTTTAGCCACGATCTATCCAGGGGTAAACTAATAGGCGCAATAACAATACACCTTTCCGGAAAATCCCGGGAGACCTGCAACGAGGGGAATTGTGGGGCTGTTCGATGTACGCTCGTGCCGCTCGATTTATTGTTTCTTATTATTAAAAACCTAACACACACACACACACACACGTGCACGTGCGCACACACGCAGACACAATAAAGCGAAGGCAAAAGGGGGTTATCGCTTACTCTGTTCGTTGTACTTCTCCCTTCTCTGGGTTCAGGGAATCACGAACTGTTAAACTAACGTCAATTTAGTCTTCGCATCCTTGATAATTTCACGCGCCGCACATCCGAATGTCAAAGCGCGTGAAGCAGCCGCGGGGGGCACAACATACTGCCGGAAAGGTCTGTTAAAGCCAACTCCGTTTGAAACTGTATCAAATGGAATTTCAAAGAGGAATTGTTATAGACGTCCAACCTGAAGCCATTCCTAGAACATGCATGCCGGGGTGCGGAACCCATACTGTTCAAATCAAATATCGAAGCTAGAACGCGTGGAGAATAGTGCCGCTCGCTTTGTAGAAGATAATTACGATTTCTGCTCAAGCATAACGAATTTAAAGCGACAACTTTCTGGATAGGAAATTGCTTGATTTACGGGGGAATTTCCATCGAAGGAAACTTTTTAGGAATGATTTTTTTTTTATAACAGTCGGGTGCTACGTCGGAGAACTATTTTTTACACCCGATATCTCATCAAGGGTAGATCATCCACTAAATAGTTTAAACATTAGGTGCAGAACAAAAACGTTGGAAAAAATTTTTTTTTCAAAAATCAATCAGTGACAGGAATTGTCTTCCACAACACGTGATCATTGAAACTTCCGATTCCATGTTTTCCCCTTTGTTATTATACACTCTTTGATAACAGTTGTGAGCGATTTTTATGTACTGCAGTATTGTGTTGTGATATTTGTGTAATTTAATTATACGTGATTCTTTCACGTTTTTCTGCTTTCATGACAGGCTAAATTGGAGCTAGTTGGTGCATATTGCAAAAGAAAACGGCCATCTGGAACGATAGGGACAGGACACAGCCGGAGAAATAGAAATAGTACTTCAGCGGTGTGTATATCTCTACTTCTCCCTCTGTGTTTTGTCCCTATTGTTCTAGCTGACCGTTTTCTTTTCTGCTTTCACGCAAAATGTTTGAATGACGAAACAAGTGTTCTTCTTATATCATACCAGCTATGCCCTCGTGGCGATGTAGGTACTGTGTAAAGAAATTAATGCACCGTAAAGACTGAAATATTTAAACCGCTCACTTTCATTTAGATTGCTCTTAAGGTGCGGTACAACAATGTTTGCACTTTGCGTAGAAACCAAATAGAATGAATCTCTGACGTTTATAACCATGTACACGCGTTAGTTTTTCTCTCTGCGTAATTGTAGTCACACACAAAAAAATTAAATTAGAAGAAGAAGAGTCCCCGTACTGGCACTACGTGCACTAGGGTCCCCGTAGTGCCAATAAGATCGTGTAAAGTGAAAATGATATTCCAAACGAATTTTCTTGCACCGCCCCTTTAAGATATCGCAATAAACGTTTTAGAAACAGGTATCTACACTTAACTGGTGATGGAGGAAATATAAATGCTACAGTTTTTTTTTTTTTCTTCTTTTTAACCTTCGACTTTGTGTTTGTCTTGTGTGCCCAAAAGTTGGCATGGCGTTACCATTAATTATTCGATACAGCAAACCCCCTCTTGCTGCATTTGCATCAATGCTGCCTAACAACCTCGAGGCTGAGCAGCACGTCCATATAACATGGCATACTGAACACAAAATTCTTCTAGGGAATGGCAATATTGTCGGCTGTTTTTTTTTCGACAATATACAATACTTACTAAAAAAAATTCATGTCACCCTTCTATAGCCTTGAAGTGATCTTGCGCAAATCGAAATAACCTTTCATTTCTTATTGACGTTCACATCATACGCGTTGGATGAAATGCGAAAAAAGGCGGTAGTAGCAGTGGTGGAACTGACAAACGGTAATTAAGAGCAGCTGTTGCAGCACGGAACAACAGGTTTTGGAACGGAGATTCCTAATTTTGTTGCAGACTATTTTCAGCTTTCTTGTCAAAATTTTTCATACAATCTCTTTCAAAGTTAGCCTGTTGAAAAAAGCTTAAGCTGTTGGAGTGTTGACAGATATTCAGTGTATCATACCTACAGGAGACCTGGCTAGTACAGATGTTTGTTTATTTATTGAACAATCATACG